CCCTCTCTCTCTCTCCCTCTCTCTGCAGTTCGATCGCAGCCTCCCGGTCCTTTATCCTACGCTGTACGCGTCACTGAGCGCGCTCGCTCGCGGCTCTGTTCGTGCGTAAGCGCGGGGTAGGTGGTCGGGGGAACGCTTGAGGACTATCGAGAATCCTTTGCCGGTGTTTACCGTTCCCCGCCTTCCTCTCCTCAAAGTTGACGAGAGGTCGGTCGTGCCTGCAGGGCCTGTGCCACTGATATTGTCATTTACATGTAAGTGACTTGCATTTTTTGCTTTTTGCTTTTTTAGTGACTTAAGCAACAACCAGATCGGCAAGATGGCCCCAGACGCCTTCCAGGGACTCAAGGCGCTGACTTCTCTGTAAGATCTCTTATTCTTTACTACTCTTCTCGAGAAATGAAAATACCATTTTAGAAAATCTAATTGTGTATTATGTGTCGATGACAGGGTTTTGTACGGTAATAAAATTGCGGACCTTCCAAAGGGCATCTTCCACGGACTCGCAAATCTTGCGTTGCTGTAAGAATCTGTTCACATTATGCGGCGTTTTGTTGTCTGTTTGAGTGTATGATCGTATGTACTTATTCCTCCGAATTTATCTCTTTCTGTGCCAGGCTTTTGAACGCTAACGAAATCTCCTGCGTCCGCAAGGACACTTTCCGTGACTTGCACAGTCTCAACCTACTGTAAGAACAACGACCATATCAATTTTATAACATTTCCTACCCTGGAAAAGCAAAGGTGCTATATAACATCTTTGAAGGTTGCTACTGCATCAGTACCTTTGTAAAGGCACTAAAATTGCTAAAAATAGCACATTTGGAGGCCGCAGTAGCGCCTTTGTATTTCACTTACGTCTCTAAAAATGGGATTAGACAACACCATTGTTTTTCCAGTGTGCGCTTTGAAAATATTTTTTTTAAACCGACAAAAACAACAACAACTAATGATTAACGTCCTGCTCTTCTCGCTGTCCAGGTCGCTGTACGACAACAACATCCAGTCCATCGCCAACGGAACCTTCGACCCCATGAAGAGCATCCAGACGCTGTAAGTATAGGGTTGGAAGCCCTGGAAAGTTTCCGGAAAATGTCAGAAATTTTTTGGGGAAAATGAAAAATTTCCCAGACCGGTAATTTTCCGTTATTTTCCGGAAAATGTTGTAAATTTTTTTAACCCTAACTGTAAGTACGTATGATATCGCGCTCGACGTAGCAGTGAAGGGCCTCTTTAGTCGCGTCGCCGAAGCCTCTGCATCCTGACCGCGCGCTCGCGTCCCAACTCTCTCCGCCGGGCCGACAACTTCCCCCTGCTGCTGCTGCAGTTCGTCCTTCTCTCAAAGCAAAAGCGCGGCGCTCGCTGCCTCTGTGCCGCCCGTGCGACGCGCGCCCGAACTTGTTCCGGTTGGCGCAGGAGGGCGGACCTCTCGACTTCCGGTCGGAAGGAAGCTCAGAGCGGGCGGCGTCTGCTGCTGCTGCTCCTGCCACGGCAAGAAGAGCCCCAAAGTTGTCTCCCTCCGCGGCGGAGAGAGTCCCGAGGGCGGCGGGAATATAGTTGGTGGACACAGCCTGAAATGTCGTTCGTTCATAAAAGGAACACTCACAGGGCTTTTTCCTGCGACAAAAATATTTAGCTGACAGTGACTACGTTTTTTGATTAGAGTCAGACAAATCGAGAAATGAAAGAGGAAGCTCTTCCCCAAAAATCATCGGCGACGCACGCGGAGGGTCTGTGAGGCGCAAACCCAATTCAGGACGCGTTGAACCTTTCAGTGGGTACTTCCTTGTCGAGCGCTTGCCTGCATGTGGCCCAGGTGGCTTCCGGTGTGAAGAAGTATAGCATCCCGTATTCACCAGTGCGGGTAAATAAGGGTCTGACACCTCTACAAGTCGCGTACGACGATTTTTATCAGTCCTGATAGACCCCGTCGACCCTTGAGAGAAACCCAGAGAACTTTGCTCTTTGCCAAATAAACCGGAAACTCAAAGTGTTTGAATGTCGCACACCTTCTCACGGCGAGGGTACTGTGCGTTCGCTGCTCCCCCCACTCCTCCGGCAGGCGAGTCGGGCGAGCCGCCGGAGCCGGCGGTCAGTCCGCATGGAACGCGCTATTTTTCTATAGCTATCTCTCTCGCACGCGACAGTTATCGAGGCGACAGTTATCGAGAGTCCACTGTAGCGCCGGGCAACAGCAGGCGACGACCACGGCTACGCCTCGCTGGACGTCAAGTCAATTTGTGGAAGCTTTGGGCCCTAATTTTGCGCCACAGGCAAGGAGCTTGACAAAAGCTCGTCGACCTAGACCAAAGTGCGCGCACGGGCCGCGCCAGATGCCTCTTGCTGATCAGGTTCGACGCGTCACAGCGTCGCCCCGCGTCGCCGGCCCTGGCGCTCACAAAGGCCCTCCTCAAAACCTGATAAGCGGCTGTCGGGCAAGTCAAACAAGGCGTCGTCGGCGTCAGCGCGCAGTACGACTCGCGAGTCGGCCGCGTCCTCATCATGGCGTTCCTCCTCGTCGTGGTCCTCGCCTGCTGTTGCCCGGCGCTGGTGCGGGCCGACCTGCCCGTCGTGGACATGGCCGTGGCCCCCGAGGCCAGGAGCGCGGCGGCCCTGCTCTCGCCGTTCCTGGAGTCGCAGGGGGCCACCCTCTGCGTCGTGGGCAGCACGCGCTGGACCGCCGCCTTCCTCCGGGGGCTGTCCGCTCACGTCCCCCGGGTGCAGATGCCCATCCGGTTGGTGTTGGACGACGACCTCCACCCGAGGCTGCAGCACACCCTGTCGACGTCGCTCAATGCACTGCTCGTCCACACGGAGGGACCCGAGGAGCTCCTGGCTGCCATGAGCGGGTACGGCGCGTTTTTCCTAAGGCGGACCTTGTTCTGGACCTCGGTGTCCTCCCCCCAGGAGGACGGCGTGCTGCGGCGCGTCTCTAAAGTCCCGCTGGTCGCGCCCTGGCTCGGGGCGTACCAGGACAGGCTCGCCCTCACCTCGCCCAACGGCAGCACCGTTCTGTACAGGCTGGACTGCCGTTCTTTCGCCGCCTGCTCAGACAAGGAGGTGACCATCACGATGGTGGACGAGTGGTCGCCCTTGCAGGGCTGGCGCAGGCAGGCCGCCGTGTTCAACGAGTTCTGCAGCGGCTGGCGTCCGGGACGAGGCGGGCGCCTCGACGTGGTGCTGCTACCGTCCAGACAGTTGACGTCGACGTCTCCGATCCAAGAGCTGGCGAAGACGGTCGTGCGATTGGCGACAAGGCTGGGCCGGGGGGGTCCACGAATGATAAATATAACAGAATCAGATTACTATAGATTGTTGAAAGGTCTCGAAGGGTGCCGTTTAGACGCCATGCTGACAGACGTGAACGTGATGATCAGACCCACGTTTCGGGAGGCGAGCTTCGTCAACGACATGGCGATGGTGGAGGTCGTTGCGATTGTGCCTGCCGGCTTTGGGGCCGGCGTGGGCGTGCTGGAAGCGGTCACGATCGAGTTCACAGCGGGTCTGTGGTGCGCCACGGGGCTGGCGTTGTTGAGCACGGCGGCCGTCTTCGCGTGCGCCCGGCGGCGGCAGGACGTCAGCGGCGCGGTGCTGCAGGCGCTGGCCCCGGTACTGGGGCAGGCGACGCCGCCACCCGCCCCGCCCCGGCCCATGCTGGCCGCCTGGCTGCTCGCCTGTGTCGTGCTGACCGCCGCCTACCAGGGCCTGCTGCTTGGCAAGCTGTCCTCGGCCGTCCCCCGGCGCGACCTAGAGAGCCTCCAAGACCTCGAGGACAGCGGGCTGCCTGTCCACATGTACTCCGTCCTGTTCTTGCGCGCGTCGAGGCAGCGCTTGCTGCCCGTCGCTCTGGTCGAGCGGACCAGGATATTGTTTCACCGGGACATAAGCACGGCCATCGACACCGTCGCCACCGCGCGCAACTGCGCAGTAGTCGTCTTTATGGACATGAACATCGAGAACATCATACGTCCCTACACGATCCCGCCCAAGCAGGTGCACGTCATCCGGCTAAACCACTCTGCCGTGAGGGCGATCGGCATGGCCACGAAGGGGTCCCCGTTGGAGCGGCCCCTGGTCCGGGCGCTGGCGCGCGTGGAGGCGGCAGGGCTGCTGGCGCGCTGGCGCAGCGCCGAGCACGAGCGCGAGCGGCTATTCTACGCGAGGAAGCTGGTGTCGCTGCAGGGGCCGCGGCCGCTGACGCTGTGGCAGCTGGGGCCGGCCCTGGTCGTGCTGGGCGCGGGCCAGGTCTCGGGTGCGGTCGTCTTTGCCCTCGAGCTGCTGTGCGCCCGGTGGTGGCAGGCTAGGGCAGCAGGGCGCACGACAAGGCCTGGCCTTACTTGACCTAACCCGGGCCCGTGATTTCCATCCAAACTACACCCAGAAACCAATCCGTGTTACGATCGACTATAACCAAATGTAATGATATTTCACTGCGAATTCACCTCGGAAGTGTAATGCTAAATTTGTTTTAGGATGCGAGTGTTGGAACATGGAACGAAAATCAAAATCAGGTCAGGGATGTTGCACCCTCAGAAGATGGTTTCTTTGAACCACAAAAATTCAATTGAAAAAGAAAAAAAAAATGATTCCATCATATTGACGGAAACCATTTTCCGAATGTCGATTTGTTTATTATTTGTTTCGCTACGCGGCGGCCACGAGCCTGCTCTGCAGGCGGACGTTGGCGCGGCCGCGGACGCTCATGGTCAGACTGAAGTCGAACTTGACGTCCTCGAGGGTCTCGGGGCTGTCTGCCGCCCGGAGGATCGTGAAGCGGCGCAGCACGCTGGCCGTGACGGTCTTGGCGAGCATGAGCGCGTAGCGCAGGCCGATGCAGTTGCGGGCGCCCGCGCTGAACGGCACGTAGGCGTAGGGGTGGCGGCCGCGGGTGCGCTCGGGCAGGAAGCGGTCCGGGTCGAAGGCCCACGGCTCGTCGAAGTGCTCCTGGAGGCGGTGCGTGCCCGCCGGCACCACGCCGACGAAGCAGCCCTCGGGCACGAAGGTGCCCGTCGGCAGCGTCATGTCCTCGGACGCGACCCGGAAGATGATGGGGATGGGCGGCGCGTAGCGGAGCACCTCGCGCAGCACCCGCTCGGTGTACTCGAGGTGCGGCAGGTCGTCGGCGACGAGGGGCCGGTCCGCGCCCGCCGTCCCGGGCCGTCCGAACACCCCGTCCAGCTCCTGGAGGGCACGGTCAGTGCGAGGGGTACTTCACTATAAATTCAAGCGTCTTTGCTTACATTTTCTGTTTCTGTCGGGTGGTCACCTTACCTCTTGCACCTTGCGCTGCACGTCCGGGAAGTAGGACAGGATGTAGGCCATCAGCGACAGGTAGTCCATGGAGGTGGAGGCGCCCACGAAGAGGAACGTCTTGAGCTCCTCGCGCAGCTCGTCGCTCGAGAGCAGCCCGCCCTCCTTGGAGCGCAGGACGTGGTCTAGGAACGACATGCGGCGCCGGGGCGGCGGCGCCTCCCCGCGCGCCACCTCGGCCGTCTTGTCGGTCAGCACCCGCGACACCATCCGGTTCATGGTCTCGGACGTCCGGAAGAAGGGCTCGGCCTGGTCGCTGAACAGCTTGAAGACGGTATCGTGGTACCACCTGGCGAGGACCATGCCGGGCGTCAAAAGACCCAAGGGATTTTAAATTCCAACATTTATTCGCGGAGAAATTAAGACTATTCCAGAAAAAATGAAATTCTTGCAGAATTTTTTTTAAATTTTTAGGAAAAAATTTAAACGTGTTATAAAAAAACTCTTGAATAAATTTTCAATACATTTTCCAAGAAGAAGGTAATTTCTAAATGCGCGTAGCATGGGCCTCACCACGGCCGCATCGCCCTCCACATCATGAGGTGGCTGGCTTCGTAGAGCACGGCGGAGTCCTTGCCGATGTCGGCGGCCGTGGCCTCGCGGGAGGACAGGACCGTCTGGATGAAGGTGGTACTCGTGAGCCGGCCGAACTCGGCCTGGATGTCGAAGCTGTCGCCGTCGGCGCGCTCGGCCAGGCGCGCCACCAGGATCTCGCTGTTGCGCACGAAGATGGGCACGAAGTCGGAGAGGATGTCGAAGTGCAGCGACGGCGTGATGGCCTTGCGGTGCCGGCGGTGCGTCGGCCCGTTGATGTTGACCAGCCCGACGCCCATGTGCGGGCCCAGCAGGTCGGCGTACAGCTCGGGCTTGCTGGCCAGCGCCGGGTGCGTGCATACGGCCTGCTCGACAAAAGGGGGACGGTGGCGTCATCGGGGACCTCCTCCTTTGGTATCGCGGCCACGGCGCGGTGCCGGCCGATGCAGCTCACCTGCACGTCGTCGGGGTCCATCGCCACGATAAGCACGCGGTTGACGAGGTGCAGGCGCACCGTCTTGCCGTACTTGTCGATGAGGTCGGTGAGCGCCGCTCGCGGGTCCCTGAAGAGCGCGAACAGCGTCGGCACGCAGCCCACGAGCGGCAGCGACGGCGGGCTCGGCACGCCGCGGGTCAGGTAGACGACGCGGGCCACCTGCGCGAGCACACGCGTCATCATGTTACACCGCAGGACGTCGGGGGCGCACCCGAGGACCCGAGGACCGCGACGGACGCGGCGGCGCGCGTATACTCACCGTGGCGGCGCCCTTGACGGCGCGTCGGAGCGCGGCGCGGGCCTCGGCCGACAGCAGCAGCAGGGCGACGCACACCGCCAGCAGGGCGACCAACATCGCCATATCGTGGGTGGAGGGTCGCGTCGAGGAGGCCGAGGTGCGCGCAGAGTGAGGCTGCCGGCGACGAGGCGCGCTCTTTTCTGGCGCCTCTCAAACGAAGTCCCCCTGACGCATGGGCACGTCGCGGCCGTAATTGCAGACGGCAAAGACTTATGCGATTAGCGTTAAACACGCCCGGAGTGCATCACGCCTGTTTTACATACCTCGCTAACTCTGTTTTTTTGTTGTGTTTCTGTCTCTTGTTTCCCACCAGGCACCTGGCGCGCAACCCGTTCATCTGCGACTGCAACCTGCGCTGGCTGGCAGACTACCTGCACCGCCACCCGGTGGAGACCTCGGACGCCAAGTGCGACTCGCCCAAGCGCATGCAGCGCCGCCGGCTAGCCGCCCTCAAGGACGACCAGCTGCAGTGCACGGGTAAGGGGCCGTGGCTCCAGCAGCGCCACGCGGCCACGGCGAGGACGGCGGCGGCGACGACGACGGCGTCCTGGCGGTACCCGGGAGGTAGACACGGCGGCGGCGGCGGGGCGGCGCGCGCGGAACGGCAGGGCCGCGCCCGGTGGTCCGGAGGCCGGAGGCAGACAAGTGGGTGCGAGTGGGGGTGTCGTTCGTCGCGGTGGTGCCGGCTCCGGGGACGGCGCCCGACTGTCGGCCCCGGGTCACCCGGGTTGTGCCCGGCGACAGGCTGGCGCCGGCGCGCCGGGCGACCACGTGTTGCTGGTCCTGCTGCTGCTGCTGCTCCTGCTGCTGCTGCTGCTGCTCGCGGGCGGGCGGGCGGGCGGACGGGCTAGACAGAGTGAAACAGCGGCCTAGAGCGAGGATGTCTTAGGGAGACGTAGGATTGCACAGAACACAAAAAAAATGAACAGATTGGTTCAAAACAGTCCGTTAATAGTCGGCTGACTATTTTTTTTTTCCTAAGGCCTTGTCACAAAAAAAAAATTGTTCTCGATCAGACATCTTCAGCCCTGTCTCCCCGTCGCCGGCCCAGGTTGTATCCGCGTCTGGTCCGACCCGCCCCGCCGCACTGCACATTAACGTCATGAACATCAAAAACGTCACACGAACATCCACACACCCAGAAAAATGGAAAGCTGTAAGCAACCATCGGAACGTGCGTTTACTCCAGGGACAGCCGTGAAGTGGTAGCTGAGGCTGAGGCAACATTAAAATGCACCCGTGAGAACTCGAATATGGTTCCGTATAACTGTATGATTTAAAAAAAAATAAATGTAAACATATTATGGCTGTCTCTGCGGGGTAACCTCACGATGGCTGCTTGAGCCCACCACTTCTCTAGGTGCAGCTTGCCTAACCGCCGCTGTTCCCGCGGGATTCATCTGCATCGCCTCACTGGGCATTCCCTCCAGTCCTGGAAGGGGGGGGGGGAGGAGGGGGGTCGAAACTATACCGCTTATCTCGTACCAGCCGCTCGTCGCGGATCGCGAGCGGGGGCCGAGTGGGTGTGCACGTTGATGGTGTTGTTGAACCGATTCCGATTTAGTTGATAGAGAGGGGGGGGGTGTTTCTTTGCATCGTGCTCGCATTCTGGAGAGGGCGGGGAGGGGGGGGGGTGGGGGCATGGGGGGTTTTGTGTGTGGGGATTCGTGCTACCTTTTATCGCAATCACACACGACATATCGATTCCATCCCCGCATCAATGTGTGCGCTATGACGCTATGAACGTGATCGTGGCTTTGCGTCGGTCGGTGTGCTCTGCTCTGTGTTCTCTCTCTCTCTCTGTCTCTGTCTTTCTCTTTGTCTGTCTCTTTCTTTCTCTGTGTCTCGCTGTCTTTCTGTCTCTTAGTGGGCATGCCGTTTAGCTTCTACCTTTGTCCCCACCCAAGACCGTTCCTCAGGGGAGAACAGCTAGAGCTCTCCTCTTAACCCCGTTCATCAGCCCACTCACTCACTCACTCACTCTTCCGTCGTCACCCTCTCCGACTCGTGTGTCGTGTGTGTCTCACCTCTGTGTCCGTTGCCGCTCGCAGGCGTGGACGAGTACCGCACGAGGCTGGCCGGCGAGTGCGTGGCCGACTCGGCCTGCCCCGCGGACTGCACGTGCGATGGCCCCGTCGTGGACTGCTCCGGGCGCGGCCTCAAGGACATCCCCAAGGACATCCCCGCCTACACATCCGAGCTGTAAGGAATTAATGCAATCATTACTATACTGAATTATTTTTAAAAACATCTTTGACGTACCACAAATAAACAAAATTCCAAAATGTTCAATTTTTTTTTTTTAAGTGTACATTTGTTTTCCTAATCGGCTTATTTTGACCTGAACATGGCTCAGAGCTCATCCAATAATTGTGCCTGCTTTATCAATACTAACGTCGTCCTTTTCTTCCTTCCGCCACCCAGGCTGCTGCAGGGCAACGAGCTCGGGCGCGTCAAGGCTGACGGCATCCTGGCCTCGCTCCCCAACCTGGTCAAGCTGGACCTGTCCAACAACCACATCACGGGCATCGAGCAGCAGGCCTTCCAGGGCAACCCCATGCTGCAGCATCTGTACGCAGTCACTTTTTATGCATTTATTTGTGTATTTTTACACGGGAGAAAATGAGAAGTTGTGTAGCTAAATGATGGATAACCAATTATTTAGCTAGCTAAAAAAATTAGTTGTGTTAAGCTACGTGTCTAAACTTTTAGCTACGTCTATAAACTTAGCTATGGTTGTCTGAATTTTTTTGCTTCAGCTAATTCTTTACCTACATACCTAAATGATTAGTTATCCCCTTGTTCAGCTCTTGTTTAGCTACATAGCTAATCTTTAATATCCACACCTGAATGATTTGCGACTGCATCATCCTCTCTTGTCCACCGCAGGTACCTGTCGGGCAACAGGATGCGCGAGATCCACAACAAGATGTTCGTCGGCCTGTCCAATCTCAAAGTGCTGTAAGTTTCCCTCAGTTGACACTCCGCGTTTTATTATTTACTTTTATTTGTTTCCTCGCCCCGCGGCTCTTTTCATTCAAATCGAGTTTTGTACATGTCGTTCTGGACGGAAAGGGGGGGGGGGGCAGGGGACAAGGTGCTAACACCGTTAACGACCGTTTCTTGTAATTAAAACAGAGGGAGAGTAGAGGGGGCAGAAATATGCTTGGTGGACGCGCGCGAGCAGGGTGGGAGGAATAGGTCGTGAGGAGAAGTAGTAGGAGAGAGAAAAAGAAAAAAAAGGCAATTCAGCAGCGGCCGAAATGGATGACGACACAATTCCCTTCTTCGTCTTTTTTTTTTTTTTTTGTCTGTTTTTCCTGCTTCTCTTCGCGAGGAGTGTCCGTTTCCCTCCCCGGTGCGCGACTTCGACGGTAGTATAAAGTCCGTGGCTCTGACCCCGCCGGGGGCAGGAGCGGGGGCGGGCGGGGGCAGGAAGACGGGAAGCTTCTGCTCCGTGGGGCCTCCGCACCGCTAATCGTGACGGACGACCTCTCCAAGTGGCGTCGAACCCATCTCCCCCCTCCCCTCGCCCTTACC